CCCCCCCCCACCAGTTTTTAAATCAGATTCTTTCTTTTAAGGTGTTGAGGTGTATGAGTTTCTTATATATTTTGACTATTAACTCCTTATTGGATTATCATTGGCAAATATCTTCTCTCATTCAGGAGGTTGTCCTTTCATCTTCTTTTCTTTATAAAAATATCTTTATGGATTTCAGAGAGAGGGAGAGAGGGCTAGAAACATCAATGATGACAATCATATCTTGGCTGCCTCCTGCATGTCCCCTACTGGGGATGAGCCGGCAACCCCAGCCCCTGCCCTGCCCGGAAATCCAACCGTGATCTCCTGGATCCTAGGCAGGGCAGCAGGTCTACACTTAAAGGAAAAAAATATTCAATGGCACTTGTTAAAGACAGAATGCAGACTTTATTTGGGGCCATGGAGATAGTTATAGGGACCACTGCAGTGGGATGTTACAGCGGGGGAGAGAGATGGGGCTCAATCTATATTCGGTGTGGTCAGCTGGATGAAAAATTCCTAAGAGAAAACAACAGGGGGACGTTCTGGCTAAACCTACCTAACTGAAAACAGGCCAGGAGATCAGGCATCACCCAAGGGATGGTGGAAGATGAGGAGCCCCAGACATTGAGGAGGATCAGATACTGAGGGTGTGTGTTGGGGGTAGGGGGGGGGCTTGTTAAACTGACCTGGCAGGGTTCTTGCTAAAACTGGATTTTACAAGGACGTGCACAGGTGAAAGTAGGAGAAAGTTTAGGAGCCTGACTAAAGTTTGGCCAAGCAAAGAATCTTCGTCACTATCTCAAGTATGTCCAGTCCCATTTCTTCTAAGAGCTTTCCAGGGCTCTCTCTGTCCCAGTACCCAGTCTAGAGGAGTCTGGTCAACAGTAAATTAATTTCACAGCAATTTTGGGAAACTGGAAGGCCTGGAGAGGGTACAAGTCTCAGGCTGGAAGAGTCTTACCCTGAAAAATCAGAACGGACAGCTGTTAGGACTGCGACTCACCAGCAGCCAGGCTCTTCGCCCACCTTCGCGCCCGGTCCCCCTCCCCCCTCCCCCCTAACCTAGCGAGAAGAATGGGACAGGGGGGTGGCAAAGCCCAGAGCCCAGGCCCTTTCGTTTCGCCTCCAAGCGGCTCCCGCTCAATCAGAGAGAACCCGAGTAGGGTGGTGCGAGTTGCTTACCCAGCCAGACCCAGAGGGGCGTGGAGGGGCAGGGTGGGTGCCCGGAGAAGGGTGGGCTCATCCCACGGCCCCCTCGCCCCGCCTGTGCCCCTGAAAGGCGGCCCCAGAAAGGGCGTGGGAGGGAACCGGAGCAGTGGGGCTGAGGGGCACGAGCTAAAG